CGGGCTGGGCTCTTCAGGGCCTCCTTTAAGACAGCATGGACAGCCATGTTTGGATGTATATGTTTGCGATTTTCAAAATATTACCTGTCCAATAATTTAATGTATTGTGTCAGCGCGCCGTGATCCGTAAATGGGCTCAAGGGGTGCATCATACCGGGCTATCGATAGGGAAGCGAACGGTCTTTCTGAGCAGTGATGCAAGGAAGTGGCTGCAAAAAAGCTGCAAATCTCATTATCTTACAGTGCCTGGTTCGATATAGTGCCGTTTTCGGCCCACTGACAGAGGGAGGCACTATGTCGCGATCCCCGTGTACTGGCATTCAGGGACGTCAATAAAATGATTCAATTGAATTTTAATGTATGCTAAATTGGATCAAGATTGAATTCAATCGCACTTATGCGGTAGGTGACAGCCAATGGTGTGCTCTCGTATGGCACGTTGGTAGCGACAGATTCCATTATTGTAACTTTGTGTGCGCCATCATACTGTTAAGAAAAGTATTAAATGGACCAATCAGGTGCACGCTGACGTCCATACATGTCCAAACATGCCCGTCCATGCTGTCTTAAAGGAGGCCCTCAATGCTGGTGCGGTCTGCGTCCCATCCTGCCCAGCTCGGATGAGCTCTCCTGCCGCTTTAGGCCAGTCTAGCACAGGCATCTGTTCTTCTGACGCAATTATCGCCTACGCTCTGTGCTTTCAGAAATCCCCTTGCAGGGTACTCACGACTGTTATCGACGACGCTTGTCATCTTCCGACTTTCACTTATGAAAGTGAGGCAGATTACAGTCCATCCCAGTGTTGCAACGATCTTGCTTCTTCCGTCAAAGCTTGTTCACGAAACCCAACCTTTCAAACAGTCGCCGAATTGCTGCCGAGAGAAGACGATGGAACCAGTTTTATGTACAACCCGGATGGTCGCGTACATCTCTTACTCGTAACAACACCGTTGTTGATCGATTTTGCTTGCACCGATCCAAATGAGTATGAATGGACTGACGCTCGGACCTTTCACGACCTGCTGTGCACGGAAGAATACACGTTTGAATATCAGTTTGCGTATGTGCTTATCGTGACCCTGTTACAGTCGTGTGCAAATTCCTTGGAACAACTCTCCAAAACCAGCCCTTCTTGTCAACACACATGGATTGAGCGAGGCGCACCATATTTGAGGGCCATTGTCCGCAGTCAGGGTCTCGCCCCGACCTCTCAAGTGCAACGTCATGCTTGGACATCGATGGCGTTGTTGTTTAAAGTAAACACATCCGGTGGCTGGTTCTACATCAAATCTGCACCGCCTGGCTGTCCGGAACAGACGATCACTAAATGCATTGCCAATCTATTTGCGGCCGATACGGTTGATGTTGTTGCTGTAGATGAGAGTCTCCGTTGTTTTGTTACTAGAGAATTCCTCACTGTCGCCGCCACTTCTGCAAAGGAGACCGAAATTGCTCTCGGTAAGCTTGCGAAAATTCAAACACGAGCTATACAGCATATCGACGAGTTGAAGAGTAACGGAGTTCTGGATTGCTCCCTTGCTAACCTTGCGAAACAAGTGGACGACTGGATCATGCACCCAACGTTCAGCGAGATTATGCGCAAAAACGATTTGTGCACTGAAGACCTACCTCGTATTGTTCGGAAGTTATGCGCAGAGCTCGATTCTGGCATGCTGATGACGCTCGTACACGGCGACTTTGAGTATTACAATTGGGCTCACCGAGAGGCCGTTTCTACCGATGAGGGGATGTTTGTCTTCGACTGGGAATGTGCGTGTATATCTCATCCTTTTTGCGACTTGCAGGCGCCGAAGAGATTCTCCGAGAAAGGTGTCCATCAGTACTTGCAAGCGTGGGCGAATTATATCCATCCGAGCAAAGCTCGGCACCTTCTCGAGATAGCAGCTACACTTGCTCCTGCTCTGCGCATCAGTACTACAATGAGGACGGTGCGAGCAGCTCCTCGGAATCATTTTGCGTATGAAATGATTCTGTGGACGAGTGTTCGTGCGTTACTTACTAGTGGAGTGTAGGGCTAATTGTTGGGTCTCTTATGTCGAAACGCAAACACGGATTACTGTATTTGTTCCCTTCTCGCAATTCCACTTGCTGCAAGAGGTTCTCGGACATCTTGTAGAAACTAGATAGAACCTTTCAACGACTTGATGCAGTGAACGTCTTCTTCAGTGACGTCCCTCACTCGTTTGCGGCCCCGCAGTCGATATTTCTACTTGCTTCATGCTTATACTATCATTGTTCTGGCGCATGCTCTCAATGAGCTGCTAGCCAAAGAGGACGAGGGTCTGCTTCGAAAAATTTCAGCTCTACGTGCCGATCTCGCATAGGGGCACGGAGGCAGCTTTTTTTGGCAAGATTTGCGTTGGAAATGTACTTGTACCAAACTATCTGTTTCGCTTTCAGCTTTGCGCTTTCCTCAGTTATCTGTACGTTGCTTCTTTACGCGCCAGCCGCCGCCTCTTTCCTCGGCGTTCGAGTGGGCCGCCCTCTCATCCTGCGCCTCTCGCTGCTAACCCTACGCACCCTGCTCTCGGCTGTTCACCTTCCGGTTGATGTGGGTGTCGTCTCCTGCGTCTGGACCTTTCTCTTTGGTTCAGTCTAGGCGAGCGGCGCCGTTGCCGCCGCCACCGGCTACCTCGAGTTCGGCGGCATCCTGGGCGCCATCGTCCGTTGTTTCTTCGGCGCCCCGGCTGACGCCTCTTTTGTCAAGCTCTACGGCGCATATGCCATCGTCGTCGGCCTGCTCCTCGCCTTGTTGGAGGCCGCTGACATCACATTGGAGGTCATGCGTCTCAGCCGCGCTGCCACCGATCGCATGTTTGTCGCCGAGGCGAAGGGCGAGGAAACTCTCATTCGCAAGTCTGTCTTTGCTGTCGTCGCTTTGTGTGCCCTTATGTCTTTGGGAATTGTATACATTTCAAGCACCGTGTACTCGCACAATGCCCCACTAGTCGTGGGCGCCGTACTATTAGCCACGTACCTCGTCTGTCTAGTCACGGAGAACGGCCATATTCTAGAAACCGCCGTGCTAGCCTTAGTCGCTCAGCTCACGCTTGCTATTAGTGTAGTCGAGGAGTTCGATGCTCCGACCGAATTCATGGACCCGCTGCTTGCGAGGAAAGACAGCAACTCCCCGAGCGAAACGATTTACGTGTTTGGTGAGACCATCTCTCTGAGATATCCAGAGATGCGTACAATTGTCCTCATGTACACCTCCGCTATGCTACAGTACTTGTAACTTTGGCCTATGCTCCTAGTTTTTTCCGCCTGCTCCAAATTTGGGCCGACAGGCTGGCGAGTGAGGAAAACGCTTGCGCACAGGGGGAGGGAGTTCAGCGTTGCAGGGGGAGGAAAAAAACTGTCGAAATGGCCAGGCCTGCGACAGAAATGCATTAGATCTCCAACGCAAATGAAGGCGGTTCGCGCAGAACAGTGACAATTGCAGGACGACTCGGTAGTTTTGAAGGTGAGCTAAAATATGCTGTAATGTAACATATTTTTGGTGCAATTGTTTTGGGTGTAATTATTATTTTTATATATGACAACAGTAACACGTGTACACAACAGTAACACGTGTACACAACAGTAACACGTACACAGTAGTGCATTCGTCATCGCCGCGATTTGTGACGCCATTGAGAATTGGTTTATCTCGAGACATTGTTTCGCTGTCGCTCCCCTCTTCCTTCGTGCCCCTCCTTCGTGCCAAGTAGCGGCCTGCCAAGTCTCTGTCATCCGACAACGTCCTTCCCTCTCCCTTTACGGAACGTCGGCGTCGTCACTCGATCCAATGAAGAACACCGTCTCTGCAAGGGGCATCGGTTACCATGAGAGAGATAAGCACTATGTAAAAGGGAAAGTGTCCTGGCCGGCACAGGTGGAACAAGCCGCCTCCAGTGACAAACCGACCACGATAGGCTGTCCGATCACCGTCAGCAGCGAGACGGATAAGTAGAAGTGAGAGTAGAGACGACGAAAAAAAGAGATTCTGTGAGTTTCTTGTTTCAACAGTGGTGCCACTGTGCCAGCAGCTGCAACTCTGCTGGAACACGTGTTACACGTTTCCGCAGGAATCTATCCTCGCTGTACCCTCACTGTATCCTCGCTGTTACTGTAATGCATAAGGGGTGCAAGTAACATTCCGTCCATTCTCTTGTTCCGGCTACGTAAACTTTACTCTCTCTCCCACATCTCCGCCCCCCCGCACCCCACGCCGCCTCGCCATCCCCACCAGCACCTGCACCTGCACCTGCACCCTCTCCGCGAGCGCCCTCGTCCGCCGCACCAGCCGCTCGTTCTCGCTCTCCACCCCTCGCATCCACGTTGTCTTCCGCGCCTCCCGCAACTTTCTCCTCTCGCGGCTCCGCCTCGCGCTCGCCCGGTTCTGCGCCGCGCTCGCCCTCCGCACTGCCACGCGCGCCGCTTTCCCCGCCGTCGCCGCCTTATTCACCCACGCCACTGCCCCTTCGCCTTTGCCAGCCTGACCCGCCGCCGCCGGCCCAGCCCGTGCCCCACTATCAGAGCCCTCCCCGCCGCCCTCGCCCACCGCTGCCTCGCACCCGACAATTGAAAGGACATCGCCGTCTCTCAGCAGTCCGGTGCGCTTTTGCCTTTTTACTCACGACCTGCTCCACTACGGTATGCCCGCTCACGGATGCCACAGACATCGTCGCGCCGAGCACGGATGGGCCTTCGGGCACGTTTTGTTGGCCGTCGTCGAGCTCGACTTCAACAACGACTGGCTGATGGACCTGTGCCCGGTGTGCCCCAACTCGTACCTAGTGACGCCACGCGGCCCGCTTGACGTGCCCGGCACAGAAGATGTGCTGCTCATGAATAAGGGGAGGCCGGACGTGTCAGAACAGTATGGGTTGCCACGTGACACGGACAGCACGGGCGTGCGTGCGAAAGATGTGAACACCGAGACGTCAATGCAGGCGTGGTGGCGACGACGTTTAACTCGCTGGATTTTGGCCTCATCAATGTCGCGGGCGGGAAGTTTCGCACGGTTGAGAGCTGGCGGAGGTGCCCCCAAGGTGGAGGCCACGCGAAGGGACAACGTGCGCACGGCGGGCCATGACGTCGACGGGCAGGTGGAGATGATGTTGAGCCAAGGTTGTCGCAAGGGGTTTTCGGGGGACCTCTGGCTGATGAGGAACGAGATAGAGTTGGGCGATAAGTCGCATTACCTGTTCGTAAAAGGGGACAAAGAGCCGAGGGGATTGTGCACGTCGATCAACGCGCTAGTATCGGTGGGTGTAGGCCAGAACGAATGATGAGACAGGTGGGGGGAGGGGGGGGATTAGTGCTTCCAGACTGCGCGCGAGAGGTGTGCCGTTTTTCACGGTTTTGTACATTTACGGTATCATATGTGCACCAATGCATGAAGGAAGCACAGGCAGGGAGCTACGAGCAGAACGATACAGTAAAGTTTACGTGGGCAAGTCGAGGATTGGCTGTCGAGGATTGGCTGTCGAGGGGTGGCTATCGTCCGCTGCTCACTCGCCCTTGTCATAAAGTCCTGCACACATTTCATCAAGTTGCGTCGTGGGGGCAACCCCCCGAGATTGTCATTGGACAGGAGGCTTCCTGAAACTCATTTGCGCAGAACACATTTTTATGACACATTTCTCAAAATCTAGAAATGTGCCACCGTCTCGCTCCTGAAACGTGTGTCCACAAATTTGCTCCCCTGACTGACGAGCAGGAGTTGCGCTCCTACTCAATGAGGACGAAGGGCTCTCCGGACGAAACGCAAAGCCGGCCGGGACATGCGTGAGCAGGCATGCCTCCCTCTCACGGTCTGAGTTTACGCCTGATTTACCGAGTGCATACAAAGATACTGTATGTGCCGACGTCACTTGACACTGCCGACCAAATAGTGCCATTTTTGGGGCCTCGCACGGGGCGGCATTAGGTAGGGTCGACTGTACTAGCAATCTTCCAAAAGCTGCTCACGCCCCCCCCCAGCATGTCACACCCTGTAGGCCTGCTCCAGAGTCCACGATGGCTCCACGAGGCTTGTCGCCTCCACTGCCCCTGCAGCCGTGCCATACCCCCCGCCTCCGAATGTTCCTGCCCGCGCGTCTCTTCCCTCACTCATCGCCTCTTCCGATTGTCCTTCCGTTCCGCCCTCCTCTGCAAAACTTCGCTCCTGTTCCTTTGGTCCTGCCTTCCCTGACCGCTGCTCTCTCCCCCGCCGACTGCCCGCGCTGCCCACCGTCGTCCCCCCACTCCGTTAGACAGATACTCTTCTGCGTCTCTGTCGCCCCGTACATCCTCCGCAAACGCCCATACTCCTTCTCCGCCATGCTTCCCCCAACTTCACCCGCCTCGTGGCAGCCCTGACTCACCACAAACGAGCCCTACTGCGACATACTACCCATGACAGTGAGTCGACCAATGTAGTCCTCGGTCGCGAGTCCCACGTGCTCGGCGCGCCTTCAGGCCTTTATTCGTCTCTCCCATCTGCCTCTGCCCATTCCGTTCCATCCAGCCCTTCCTCGCCTCCTCTAACGCTTGCTGTACAGCCTGCTCTAACACTGCATCCACCAGCAAGATCTTCGGCTCCCACACTAAACTATGAGCAATCGCCACACGGTGTCGCACCCGACCGGACAGCTTCGTCCCGGGTTTTCGCTCGCTACTCAATTGTGGGGGTATGCTAGGGCAACAAGAGGAATGAAAATGTCCACTTTTATAGAGTCCCGCTTGGCCTGTCCGACCACACTGCTCGTGTGTGGATTTCATTCGCAAATTGTTGTTTTCCAGTGGTGCTACAGACCTCAACATTAACGCCCTCCCCGTAAGGTCTCTCTGCCCGGAAGACTCCATCTACAAACTCGCACAAACTCGCACAAACTCGCTTTTAGACGGGATAAATATGCTATTTGCTTGGATGGGTATGAGACCGATAATAGGGTCCGCGTCCTCGGCTGCGCACATGTTTTGCACACAGGATGCATCAACCCTTGGCTGAGATGAAGGCTCACGTGCGTGCCGCTTCAGACCACATGCTGTTGATGTGGGCCATTTTTTAGCCGAGTCTTTGCCTTGCCTGTTTTACCTTTTGATCAGTGCGCGGCGCCTGTGGAGAAACCTGGTCTCACGCCGATGTAATGCGTCGCTTCACTCACTTCGCTGCCACACTCGCGGTCCATGCCGGACATTTTCCTGCAACTGCACAGATCCTAAGGAAAGACACCAGATATTTACTGTAAATGCGCAACGACCTTCCGGGAGTACTGCACTTTTAGTGCATGCAACACGGGTGTGTACGTACTACTCACTGTAACGGGAACGTCCCAAGACACTTCCAACTTCGTCACTTACGACGCAGCCATTTCAATGGTGTGATAAGCAAAAGTGCGGCGACGAGCCTGTTTCCTACCGCCTCGGATGTTACGCAGTCACAACTTTCATGATGACAAACATGCCACTCCTCATGCCAACGGCTACAGTGCCGCGCTCCACGTCCATGTCGAAGGTGGAAACTGGACTTCCAAAGTCTGCCAGAGTGATTTCGGTACCATCTCCCTGTTCGACAAATGCTCTGCCCTCATCACTATCGATGCGGAATGCGTCCAAGTGCCGTACCCGGCCTTCAAATTCATGAGCATTCGTTTCGCAGCTTTGGTCCATGTCAGAGACACCCGGCCACGCTTTCCACTGCAAACCAGAGACACCCGGACGCGCTTTCCATTGCAACACCGTTCCATCAAACGACACGGACCGCACCTTCTGGCTGTCAGCACTCATCGACACACTCCTCACCCGATCCGTGTGCCCGGTCATCGTGTCGCCGATTTGACGTCCCGTCTCAGCGTCCCATACTCGCACCGTCTTGTCATCTGACCCCGACGCAACCCGTTTCCCGTCCCCGCTCATCGACACACTCCTCACCCAATCCGTGTGCCCGGTCATCGTGTCGCCGATTTGACGTCCCGTCTCAGCGTTCCATACTCGCACCGTCTTGTCATCTGACCCCGACGCAACCCGTTTCCCGTCCCCGCTCATCGACACACTCCTCACCCAACGCGTGTGCCCGGTCATCGTGTCGCCGATTTGACGTCCCGTCTCAGCGTTCCATACTCGCACCGTCTCGTCATCTGACCCCGACGCAACCCGTTTCCCGTCCCCGCTCATCGACACACTTGCCACGGAATGCGTGTGCCCGGTCATCGTGTCGCCGATTTGACGTCCCGTCTCAGCGTCCCATACTCGCACCGTCTTGTCATCTGACCCCGACGCAACCCGTTTCCTGTCCCCGCTCATCGACACACTCCTCACCCAACGCGTGTGCCCGGTCATCGTGTCGCCGATTTGACGTCCCGTCTCAGCGTCCCATACTCGCACCGTCTCGTCACCTGACCCCGACGCAATCCGTTTCCCGTCACCGCTCATTACGACATCGTATATCGTATCGGAATGGCCTTTGAAGGATTGAACAAGCTCGTGTTCTCTGGTGCACCAAGAAATCAAATCCCCATTGCTGAATCCGATAACAGCACGGGTGCTGTCCGCAGAGAGACAAGCGGCTGTTACGAAGGGTACGCCAGGCGTCACGCTATCGGCACTGTCACTACCTGTCACGCTATCGGCACTGTCACTACCTGTCACGCGTGATGTGCCGTCAACAGACACGTCAGCGTCAGCGCCGCCATCGGCACGGTCATTCTCAGGGGCCCGGCGAAAGCAAGAGCAGCAGGCAGCCTTTCGCTAAGCATCTTTCCCACAGTCCTGATCCAGGCGCCTCGTTGTGTCGGATGCCGACTTTCTGCTGCTGCTCGACTCGTCCTAGCCGTTGGCCTTTGGCCTTCTGCCGCTGCTTGACTCGTCCGAGCCATTTGTGTCTCGCTTCCCGTTCGGCTCAGAGCCCCTTCGTCCTCTGATCTGAAAGGGCCGCAAACCGTTTTATTAAATGCCCCGTGTTGGGTACTCTTGAATACTTCCACATCTTCGCTCCGCTTATCGGGATCATACCCCAGTCCAACGACCGCGCCGTCCGAATCGAACATCACCTTCGAAACTGAATATGAATCGCGCATGTAGAAGGTCTCCAGCAACATCCCCCCAGCTGCAGCTAGACATGAACGTATTGGGAGTAACCACGGTCTGGGTGCAAGCTTCTCGATGTCCAACAAGAAGCTCTCCACGCTCTTCACGCCCCGTTTGTGCATTGTCCTGCTGTAAAGCTGAAAGCAGATACCGGCAACGCTCTCATCGCAAGACGATACACTCAGCCGCGCAGCTTGCATCACCAGAACTATTGCAGACAACTGCTCACTTGCAATCGCTTCTGGTTTCTCACTAGCAAGCTTCCTCAACTCCTCCACCGCTTCTACCAGCTGCCACACAGCTTTTCTTAGCAACACCTTCATTATCCACCTGCTACTAAGAAGCAAGCAGCCCAGCTCTTTCATCAGCTCAGCCCCGACAAGTAGTCGACAAATATTCTCGAAAAAATATCCCTCCTCCGCCTCGCTAGCCTCCTTGGGGACCTGATCTTCAACTACTGCTTCGAGCACATCCCTCTCTTTCCGATAGCTGTCAATCAGCTCTCGACACCAGTGCTTGGTCCAGCCGGGGCCTTCCACTTGGCCTGCTTCGAAGACTGCGAAATCATGCGTAAGATCATGAAGACTTACCCCTTGGCTTTCCGTGTTCGCCAGAATTCGAATGTCAACCAATCCTACACTGCTCATCTGCGTCGCATACTTTCTTGCGATGCTAGCATCGCCCGTTCCCCATAGATCCCTCAACACTCCCAGAGGGATCACATCCTGTTTCTTCATGACACACAATGCCCGGTGCATGTCCGCGAAGCACGGAGATCCTTCGCTGCTACTTGAGTCCAGAAACTGTAAAGACGAGCGCAGCATTGCATGAAGCGAGTCATACCCGCCCCTTCCTTTCTGCGCGCCGATTGCCCCGCTCCCTTTACTCTCTTTGATCGTTCTCAGGTACCACGTCCACAACTTTGGTATGTCCCCGGCACGAGACCCTCGTGATTGGCTAACAGTGACTCCTGCTACATTCAGAGCCAGTGGTAGTCCCGCACATTTGTCCAGAATCTCCCCAAACGCCTCTCTCGATATTGGATCTTCTACTTCACCACGCGATGCCCCACTCGCATGAATCAGCATGTCGTACGCATTACGCCCTTCTCTCGCCTCAAACTTAACTTGCTCGCCCAGATCTATGAGCGTCGGATCTCTTGTGGAGTACAAGACCCTGCTCGCAGGCTCACCATTTTGCAGCGCCGTCCTGGCAAGGC